TAATTTTTTTTTTTTTTTTTTTTTTTTTTTTTTTTTTTTTGCTTGTTCCCTCTTCCTTCCCTTCCTTCCAGACCCATGTAAGCACCTAGCAGGTAGCCTTCCATATTTTTCTATGCTCATATATGTGTAAACTATGTCTGTTTATGTAAGGGGAGTGTTTTGGTCATTGTTTGTTTTACAAAAGTGAAATCAGGGATACTTTCCTCCACCTTGCTTTCCTCATTCAGTACTACCTCTTGAAAGATCCTCTAAGTCAGTCAGAATAGCTCTGTAATTCTTTTGAATAGCTTCATAATATTCTATGGTGTGAATATATCATTCTTTATTCCACCATTTTCTAATTGGTGAGCATTTACTTTGTCTCCAATATTTTTTGCCATTATAAACCATTCTGCAATAAATACCTAAGTATATATATGTATAAATCTATATATATATATGTATACGTGTGTGTGTGTGTATACCTCCTTATGCTTTGGCAGTTTTATTATGTGAAAATTTTCCAAGAGCGAGATTCCTGTATCAAAGAATATTTTAATACTTTATTTTATGATTTCCAGACTCCTAGTGATTTTGAGCATCTTTTGCTTGTTGACTTTGTGCTTCTGCTCTTTCAGAAGTTTTAAATATGTAAATACAGTATATGTTTATATTTTATACTTCTGGATTCCTAGCAGTCTTATTTTTTCTCAACTCTTTATTTTGTGTTTCATTGTATTTTTAATAGTGATCTGGAATTTTTTATGTAAGGTTGAGAGCACTAATTTCATTTCTAAATGGATAGCCAGTTGTGTTAGAATTGTTTATTAATTCATCCTACTCAATTGAAGGACCACTTTGTCATATATTTTATATAATGGAATTATGTGTTTTGTGGGTTTTTTAAATTGATTTTTAGAGAGAGGAAAGGAGAGAGAAACACATCGATTTGTTCCACTTTATTTATACATTCATTGGTTGATTCTCATGTGTCCTGACTGGAGATTGAACCCACAACCTTGGTGTGTAGGGATTATGCTCTAACCAGCTAAGCTACCTAGCATATGCAGAGGGCTGACTTAAGTTATACATGGATTTTTGACTGCTCGGTAGTCGGTCCCCCCGGACTCCACATGTTGTTCAGGGGTCAGCTATATATTCTCATACATAATGGAACCAGTTTCTGTATTATTTATTCTGTTCCTTTCATCTATTTGTCAGTTCCTATGCTAATACTATTTTGATTTGATATTAGAAATTACATTATTTTGATAATTTGATAAGACAGTCTTTCTCCTCTGCCACACATACCCAAACAGTTTCTTTTTTATACTTTTCTTAGCTATTTTCTGTCATATAGTCTTAACACACCTACCCACAGAGAAATGCACTTGTTAATATTGTCATCAGAATTGCACTACATTTATGTATTCAGAAAATTGACAGGTCACATTGTCTTATCTAGTGTCATGAAATATTTTCCCACTTACTCTGATAATTTTTTTTTCTAGGTAGGTCCTGTCCCTTTCTTGTTAAATTTATTATTTTTTAAAATATGCTTTTATTAATTTCAGAGAGAGGGAGGGAGAGACAGAAACATCAGTGATGAGAGAGAGTCATAGATGGGTTGCCTCCAGTAGGCTCCCTACTGGGGATCAAGTCCACAACCTGGGCATTGTGCCCTGGCCCAGAATCGAACCATGACCTCTTGGTTCATAGGTCGACCCTCAACCACTGAGCCATGCTGGCCAGGCTAATTTATTGTTTTTTTAAACACGGAACGCTTCACAAATTTGCCTGTCATCCCTGTGCTGGTGTCATGTATCGTTCCAATTTGAGTGTATGTGCAAGCACGTTAAATTTATCCTTAAATGTTTACTGGTATTGTTACTGATGTGAATGAGGAATTTTTATTTCTATTTCCCTTTTTATATGCTTATTTCTAAAGTAGAGGAAAACCATTGATTTCCTATAGTTGTAATAGACTGTTAATATTTTTAACACTGTGAATTGGTGGAATGGTGGAACAAGTAATCTTTGACTGAGATTTTGTAAATCCCTCCTTGCTATCATTTTCCATTGCAAAATAAACATTGTATAGGTAGAATAACTTCTGGGTTTGAAACAATAAAAGAAGGGGTTAGTTATATGTTATAATATCTCTTGGGATAATACATTTCTTAAATATTGAAAACAATGCTATATGCTGTCCTAGAGAACTACAAAAGAAATTAAGGTATTGTTATCTTTGCTTTTTGATAAATCTCAATATTTTTTGACATTCATACAACTAGTTTTGACTTTGCAAATAGATCAGAATAAATAATCTTATAGATTTGGTAAACTATTAAATTTAGTTCTGTATCTTGCCCTCATTGTTTTTTAGATAAACTAATTGTAAATTGCATGAATTATCAGAAAGCACTCACCTGTGTAACTACCACCCATATTGAGCACATTATTTTATTTTAATTTTTTATTTTGAAATAATTTAATACTTAACAGAAATACTGGACTGTAAGAATAGTACACAAAATTCCCACATACTTTTCACTTATTCTCGTTAACATTTTGCCACTTTTATTGTTCTGTCGATGAAATACAACATTTATACATATTATGTGTAATATACAAATAACATTCTGTTTTCTCTTTGGAAGAAAGAAGGCAAATGTAGAAAATGTTATATTGGTGAATCTGTATGCATACTATTTTTCTAAACTGTTTGGGAGTAGGTTGTGCAATTTTGGATGGTATACTAGATAGGTAGATATAGTGTCCTTTTTAGGGATATCACATCTGGAAGCACATGATGTCAGTTTTTGTCACTTGGATAAGGTATTATCCAGTTTCTCTAGTGTGTCAATACTTTTTTTCCTCTTGTAAGTACTAATTTGTAGGAAACGACTTTGTGAATGTGAGAATATCTCATCCCTTAAAAGAGGACGTCCTCCTTGCATGTAGCATCCATTGATGATCTTTGAATCAGTTTTTATTGTGATGGTTGTTGCCCTCTTTAAAAATATAATATTCTGTGTGCATTTCCAGTGTCATTAAAAGTTTTTTAAATCAATTTTTACTGGCTGTAATGCTATTCTATTCTGTATCTGGCATAATTTTATTACTTATTTTTCTATTTTTGAATACTTATACTGTTTTCAAAACTTTATTAGGAAAATTTTTGTGATGAACATTGTAGTATGTTAATTGGATCTGATTTTTCTCTTATTCTGAATATCTAGAAGTAGAATGAATTATTTTGAAATTCTTTATTTTTAAATTTAGCAGACAATTTGGGGGGGGGAATGTTAATTTTACAAGTCATACATACTATGGAACAGTTAGTAAATACAGTTTAGCAAAAAGAAGAAAATAAAAATCTCCTTAATTCATGTTAATGTTTCTTCCTCTAAAGCAAGGGTGGGGAATGTCCAGCCCATGAAATCATTTGGTCTTGCCCTGCCAAGGCAACTGCAGGCGGGACTCGAAATTCAATAAATCTAGGAGTTTTTTTTATAGCTAATTTTTAAATTGATAATTTTCTATGGCCCACAAATGATGTTATAAATACCCAAATGGCCCTTGGCAGAAAAAGGTTCCCCGTCCCTGCTCTAAAGTCTCTCTAGATAAATGTCTATTATAAATTCCTAGAAGTTTTCCAAAGTAGAGCTATACCACAGTAGCACCCCTTTTAAAATTAGTTTTCATGTTAATAAAGAAACCATCAGTATTTCTAATGGCTGAATAATTTTGCACATCCATGTACAAACCATAATTTATTTGTCCAGTCCTCTCTTATTGGACATACAGTTTATTTCTAGTTGTTTACTATTATAAACAATGTTGGGATAAATATGTTGTTTTCAACTTTTATAGTGAATTCCAGAGAGAAAGGTTGACAGAGAACTAACTACCCAGATGAAACAGTGCTTAACATTTTGCCATATGTGCTTAATCTCTGTGTATGTATGTGGTTTTTCATTATTGTTGATGTTTTTCTTTTGTCTGGACCATTTAAAAATGTCTTATTTTGAGTCCTCACTTCTAGAAACTTCCAAGTATCTCCCTAGAATTAGACATTCTCCAAATTATTACAACTAAGTATACTAACAATAATTTCCCAGTATCATGTAAATAACCTAGTTCATATTTAGAATTTTTTTCCTGTTGTCCCTGCAACATCTTTTTAGTTATTTTTCCCTTAAACCAGGATCCAATCAAGATTCATACATTGCATATGGTTAGAATCCCCACCTCCTTCTCTTCCATTGCATTGACTTTTTAAAGATAATCAGGTAATTTAAAATAGCTCATATTCTGGGATTTCGCCCATTGTTTCCTTGTGTCATTAAACATTTTTCTCTATTTCTGTATTTTCTGTAAACTGGAATTAGTTGTAAAGGCTTAGATGAGAATTTTATTAAACATATTTGACAAGGATATATTATAAGTGATATTAAAGTATTTTGTATTATATCATAGTCTGTTGCATCAGATGTAATTTTAGGTTGTTCAATTAGTTTACCTCTATTTGATCACTTGGTTAATATGGTGACCACCAGCTTAATGTTTCTTTCTCAAAGATACTTTTTCCTTTTTGCAGTTACCATGTAATCTGTGAGGTACTTTGGTACCATTGGAATATCCTTGTCTTCAGCAACCTTTTACTTAACTATTTTAATATTCATTTATGATCCTTGCTTTATCAGTTATTTTATTGGGGACTGCAATACAGTGAATTTCTTATTCTGTCATTCCTTTTTTTTTTTTTAAATCCTCACCTGATGACATGTTTATTGATTTTAGAGGGGGAGGGTGGAGAGAAACATCAATTCACTGCCTCCTACACGCTCCCTACCGGGATCAAGCTGCAACCTGGACATGTGCCCTGATCAGGAATCAAACCAGCAACCCTTCAGTGCACGGGACTGACGCCCAACCAACTGAGCCACACCAGCCAGGGCTGCAGTTAAATTTTATTTACAAAACAGGTGCCAGTCTGGATTTACCTGCAGGCCGTATTTTGCCAGCCACTAGCTTTGAGGCCATAGGAGTAATTCCTTGAAGGCACTTTTATACTAAGTATTATTTTATACCTCAGTAATCACTGAATTGTGAACTCTACATTCAGTATTTTTATTATTTTTATTTTAGAGAGTTGGGGATGGGAGAGAAACATCGATTTGTTGTTCCACTTATTTATGCATTCATTGGTGGTTTCTTGTATGTGGCCTGACTGGAGATCGAACTCAAAACCTTGGCATATAGGGGCAATGCTCTAACCAACTTAGCTACCTGGCCAGGGCTTATATATTCAGTATTTCTTAAGAATATGTGAAAGTATAACAACTTTTTAAAAATGATTTTTATTTGAAAAGTTAGTTTTCAAAATGTACTGCTTAAAAGGAATCAGTGGATCTCCTCATTCCCAGATATTGAAAATAAAAATTTGTTATTCCTGGCAGTTTTAAAATGTGAGCCATGTCCTTCAAGGAAGATTACCTCTTCTATATATATACAATTAGAAAACTCCCACACAAAAAAAATATTTTATGCTTTGAGGAAGGTGTATGCAGATACTCAGGTCAAGTCTTTGTATTAGTACTTGCCCTATCGGTGATGTTAAATGCTAATTTTTGGTGTGCTCTTTTGAAGTCTCTTATTGTATATATTACCTCAAGTGGAATGATGACTTTTTCTCTCCTACCTGCTTGGTATCTAGGACTCTTTTCTGACTTCTCTGATTCTCTCATTATTTTCTGTGGCATGATGTTAGTTCCTCTGACTATGAATGAAATCTTACTTGATTTTTTTTTTTTTTTTTAAGATTCTTGGAAAGTATTTAGTATGATTTGGCTTGATTGCAAGTGTTTGACTACTTATATTCAGAAGCTATGCTAACATTTAATGAAAGAAACTAAATGTAATATTTTTATCTAAAATGTCATATTAGTATATTTTTATCTCTCTCAGCTTTTACTTTTATTGTTCTGTTTCTTAAATTATGTTATTAAATTCAAAATATTAAATTCTTAATATTATGTTATGTGTACTATAAAGGCGAACAGCTGCTTGGAGAACTACAAGTGAAGAAAAGAAAGCATTAGATCAAGCTAGTGAAGAGATTTGGAATGATTTTCGAGAAGCTGCGGAAGCACATCGACAAGTTAGAAAATATGTTATGAGCTGGATCAAGCCTGGAATGACAATGATAGAAATCTGGTAAAAGGAATATGTTTTTGTAAGAACATGAGAAAAAAATTTGTTTAGAGCTGACTTTTCAATTGTAATGTTTGGCTTTCATTACTACCTTGTTAAAACTTTAAGCGACAGCTCTAGACGCATTTTCTAAATTCTTGTAATGTTGATGTAATGAGGAAACCATTTAGGACTTTTGTACTTCAACCATCCTAATTTTGTACTTGTACACTTATGTGCAAATGCACACATTATTGATTCTTATTTTTTTTTGTCCTGAAATCTGTTATTTTCTGTCCAGCAATTCATATTAAATTAAAATCCTTGGACACACAACATATTTATAATGTAATGAAGAAACCAATGAAAGTAATTATTTCTCCAGTTTTCCCCTTGAGAAATAATGAGCTATAAAAGGCAACCTAATTCTCTGAGTCAGATTTCAAAATATGCAAAATTGAGCAAATAAAATGTAATCAGCATTTAAATTAGTCTCAGTCAAGAATGTTATCTACTGGAAAACTAGGTCCTATCCTTTCATTTCTCCAGATTTCTAGTAGAATTAAATTATCTTTTAGAGATGAGCTACTGTTTTCATAGCTTCAGAGAACTGTTATTCACGTTCAGAAAGTGTTCAGATCACTCCCAGAAAGTAATTTGTTTTAGTTAACTTTCTGAACATGATGAGCTATAAGGTATATAAGGTTATACCTTATGTAAAATGTAAAAGTAAACAAATTTTGTTTTTATTTTTTAGTGAAAAGTTGGAAGACTGTTCACGAAAGCTAATAAAAGAGAATGGATTAAATGCAGGCCTGGCATTTCCTACTGGGTGTTCTCTCAATAACTGTGCTGCCCATTATACACCCAATGCTGGTGACACAACAGTATTACAGTATGATGATATCTGTAAGATAGACTTTGGAACACATATAAATGGTGAGTTTTGGGAAATAATTTTCACCCACCCTCTCCCTATAAAAGACTAGTCTTGTCTCTGTTGGATTGGGCTATAGATACTGAACTCCCAAATTTTCTTCTTGATGCCTCACTTTTTAGTAGAGCTGTGTTGAGGTAGATTTTGAAATTTGCTTTAAAGCATCCTACTAAATAGAGTGTAATAAAAACCATCAGGTAATTGAAGTTTACCCTTTGTATCAAGGCATGAAAAATAGAATCTTACATTTCTTCAGGTCATTATTTCAGACATTTATTCATATAACAACAATGTTTACTTAGACCTTTGAGTTTACCAACCTTTATATACTTGTCAGCTTTTCTGTAAGTACCTTTTTATCTCATTAACAGGTGAGAAAGCAAAGCTTAGATTAAGAACTTCCCTGAGATTTTATTAAATTGAAGAAGCCAGACTGATGGTTAGCATCCTAGGGACCTACACATATTCTCTGCCTGCACTGCTGTTTCTTAGTTCCCTAGGCTTTTCTCGCTTTGATTTGTTTGTTTATATTTTTGCCTGCCTTGGTGAGTACTGAATTAGTGCTGTCCTGAAGCAATATGTACTACCCCTGGAATTAATCTTTTCATTCTGAACCTTTTATATAACTTACTAATTATACTTTTTCCCCTTTGGTTCTGAATGCTGTCTGGGTACTTGAGTGCTGCTTTCATTTGAGCCCATCATTTTATTTTCCTGTTAACTAGCAAGAATAAGCAATAGAGTAGATGCTATAAAGTAGACAAATTGACTAGCTGATAAGTAAACTTAAAGAATTTTTTTCTTTCAGGTAGAATTATTGACTGTGCTTTTACTGTCACTTTTAATCCCAAATATGATACATTATTAAAAGCTGTAAAAGATGCCACTAACACTGGAATAAAGGTATGTGAACTGTAAGCACCATTTCATTCAACATATTTTGAGCACATTTAAGGTTTTTGAGTTATGTAAGGCTAGTCCACTGCCCTTTGGGTTTTAAGTGGATAATTATAATATATCAAAGGTTTTTATAGTGGGAGTTATAATGTACAAAGCAGTTTTTCTGATTGTCCCTCATTTTAAAATTTTAAGAAGTTAAGTTGCTGTAAAATTCTGCTCTTTGAGTATACGTTATTTGCTCTTTAGTGTGCTGGAATTGACGTTCGTCTTTGTGATGTTGGTGAGGCCATCCAAGAAGTAATGGAATCCTATGAGGTTGAAATAGATGGGAAGACATATCAAGGTGTGTTCTTTAAAAATGTATCTTATTTGAAATTCATGTGACCTTTGCAAAATAATTTTTAAAAATTGTGTTGAGTGCTTCCTTTGGGTCAGCTGCTTCATCTTTATCTCTTGGGAATATAAAGAGAGGAAATGACCTGCTCATGGTAGGAGGAGCATGTGGTCATTAGCTGGGAACTGTTGCCAAACTCCTTTGGTAGCTGATAAAAAGACACCTGGGGATTTATTCCAGGGTGGCCAAAATGCAGAATAGGTTTTCTGTGACTAGTCAAATCAAGAATCGGAGAGAAGCCAGAAGCTCTTTCCATTGGTGACTCTCTAATTTATTTTTTAAGTTAAATGCAAAATTTAGAGGCTTATTTATTCCTGAGTATCCTTCCTTTAATATGTTTTTTGTTTTTGTTTTTGTTAATCCTTACCTGAGGATATTTGAGAGAAGGAGGGAGGGAGGGGNCAGAAGCTCTTTCCATTGGTGACTCTCTAATTTATTTTTTAAGTTAAATGCAAAATTTAGAGGCTTATTTATTCCTGAGTATCCTTCCTTTAATATGTTTTTTGTTTTTGTTTTTGTTAATCCTTACCTGAGGATATTTGAGAGAAGGAGGGATGGAGGGGGAGAGAGAGAGAGATCAATTGGTTGCCTCCCGAACGTGCCCTAACCGGGTCCGGGTACCAAACCGAAAACCCGGTACATGCCCTTGACTAGGAATTGAACCCTTCACCCTTAGGTCCTTGGGCCAACGCTTTAACCACTGAGCCATGCCAGCCAGGGCACTTCCTTTAATCTGTATTCCCTTTGCCTCTCTTTTCCATCCACAGCCTTAGGTACACAGTCCCAGAGTGACCTATGCTTTCTGGTGCTCTTCATCAGTCCAGCCTTCCTGTGACTCCCAGCATCTGTCTGACTACTTTTCAGCCACCATCCTCCTGTCTAATCTATGCTCACTGCTCACTGTAACCCCTGTCCTAATAACTTTCTTACAGAATTCCTACATTTCCTTTTAACCAAATCTTGTCTCTTTATTGTCCTTTAAGTGGCATCTGTCATACTTCTTTGCCCTTCAGTAAATTCACAGCATTCAGTATTCTTTGCATTACCCTGTTGATACTTATAGACTGTTATGTTTCTGCCAAGTGCAAAAGTGATTTTTCCTGAGACCAATCAAAAACACATTTAAATATGTAAAAGGAAGATTTTCTTTTAAGAAATTTATTTAAGGAAAAAATACATTTAAATAAAATAACTAACCTAACATAACCAAGTTGTACAGAAGAATCAAGGCAGAGGGATATCCATTTTCATGTTACATAGGTTTTTTTTACAGCCGCAGGCTAATTCTGGGACCAGTAGCTATAAAAGTAACTTTCTAGATAAGAAATTTCTTACAGATTTCTAATCCTGTAAACATTTGTACAAATCAAAAATATCTTAAGGCTGCTCACACTTGGATGGGAGGTAGTATGAGATAATGAAGAAAACACTTTTGGGTCAGGCAGGTCTATGTTTGAGCTCAATAATCCTATAACCTCTAAGAACCCAAGGTTTTCTTTTACTGTAATAGGATTAATGATATCATGGGGTTTTTTGTTTTGTTTAGAAATGTAAATTTTATGATAGTGTTGAAATTTATTAGTATTTAACAAATATTTGTCATTTCCAACCCCAGTTTGGGATTGGTGCCACAACAAATAATGAACATTCAAGTCCCTCTCAAATCATCTTTCTGTTTTCTCCTAATTCTATGCCATCTTGCTTTCAAGGTATATTAGGTGACGATTTTACTTTCAGTCTCTGCAGTATTATTATAATCCTTAATATCTGCTGCCTTACCTCTTCCACTAAGCTAGTACAACATTTTAGGTTCTATTATTTCAGTACTCCTTTTTAGGTATCAGTATTGGTTTGGGTTCTTAGTTTAAGGTGACAGAATTCATTTTTACTAGTTTGAGCAGAAAGGGTATAGACAAATCATGATTTTGAAAGTTAAAGAAATAGACTATCATCTTAATTTTCAGAGGCAATTCCCAAAAACCACAGTAGAGAGCTGGGCCATCAAGGGAGGGATATTTTTAAATTTACCTTGAGCAGGAAGATAATAGAATTGGAAAGTTACCTTTACAGCTGTTGGTCCCAGAATTAGCCTGCTGCTGTCAAAATCTGTGTAATATAAAAATGGATACCCCTCTGCCCTGCTGCTTTTGTGTAACTTGGTTATGTGTTAGGTTGGCTTTTTATTTAAATGTGTTTTTGTTTAAAAATCTTTTTTTTTAATCTCTTTTTATTTAAATGTGTTTTTGATTGGCCCAAGAGGTCAGTTTGCTAGGTCTTAGAGAAATAGTAATACTTGTTGAATTTTAAATAATTTTAGCTCATCATTTACAAGAAGGAATATTTTTTTTAAGAATTGAAAATTTTATTTTTCTGTACCACCCCGTAAATTTATAATATACTTGTCATTATTTCATTGTTACAGATTTGGAAAAAACCTTGCTACCTAGCCCTAGCCGGTTTTGCTCAGTGGTTAGCTCGTCTGCCCTTGGACTGAGGGATCCCGGGTTTGATTCCTGCCAAGGTCACATACCTTGGTTGCAGGCTCCAGTACTGGTTGGGGGCATGTGCAGGAGGCAGCCAGTTGATGTGTCTCTCTCACATC